GGGTGCCCAGGAATGAGGGTGGAGGTGGAAGGGTATCAAAAGAGCAGTTAATGCTGAAACTATTCCAGATCTTAACTATCCTTATAGTTAGAAAGTATTTCCTAATAATTAGTATTTCCTAATAATAATAACAACCTAACTCTCCCTAGCTGTGGATAAAGCCCATTGCTTCGTGTCCTACCTTCAGTCTCCATGGAGAACCATGGATCCCCACCCTCTTTATAACAGCCCGTCACATATTTGAAGACTGTTATCGGGTCCCCCTCAGTCTTCTTTTCTCAAGCCTAAACATGCCCCGTTTTTCCCCCCTTTCCTCATAGGTCAGGTTTTCTAAACCTTTTATCATTTTGGTTGCTCTCCTCTGGTCTCTCTCCAATTTGTTATGTATTTTTTAAAGTGTGGGCCCCACAACTAGACACGGCATTCCAGCTGGGGTCTCACCCGTGCCCAGTAGAATGGAACAATGATCTCCTGGGTCTTACATATGGCACTCCTGTTAACACACCCCAGAATGAGATTAACCTTTTTCAAAAGAACATCCTGTCATTGGCTCATATTCAGTTTGTGATCTCCTGTAACCCCAGATCCATTTCTGCAGTATTACCACCTAGCCAGTCATTGTCCATTATGTATTTGAGCATTTGATTTTTTCTTCCTTGGTGTTGTACTTTGCACTTGTCTTTACTGAATATTATTTTGTTGATCTCAGAAAAGTTCTCCAATTGATCAAGGTGATTTTGAATGTTAATCCTGTCCTGCAAAGTGCTTGCAACCCCTCTCAGCTTGGTGTCCTCTGCAGATTTTATAAGCATACTCTCCACTCCATTATCCACCTCATTAATGAAAATATTGAATAGTAACGGACCCAGGACAGACCACTGGAGGATACCATTAAATACACCCTCCCAGTTTGACTGTGAACATTCATAACTACTTTTTGAGTAGGTTTTTTTTAACCAGTGTTGCACCCACCCTTTAGTATTTCATCTAGACCACATTCCTCTCATTTGCTTATGCAAAACTCGTGGTGATCAGGGGAGGTCCTGGATAACTGGAAAAAGGCAAACATACTGCCCATCTTTAAAAAAGGGAAGAAGGAGAATCCGGGGAACTACAGACCAGTCAGCCTCACCTCAGTCACTGGAAAAATCATGGAGCAAGTCCTCAAGGAAACCATTTTGAAGCACTTGGAGGAGAGGAAGGTGATCAGGAACATTCAACATGAATTCACCAAGGGCAAGTCATGCCTGACCAACCTGATTGCCTTCTATGCTGAGATAACTGGCTCTGTGGATATGGGGAAAGCAGTTGACATGATATATCATGACTTTAGCAAAGCTTTTGATACGGCCTCCCACAGTATTCTTGCCAGCAAGTTAAAAAAGTATGGATTGGATGAATGGATTATAAGGTGGATAGAAAGCTGGCTAGATTGTCAGGCTCAACAGGTAGTGATCAATGGTTTGATGTCTAGTTGGCAGCCAGTATCAAGTGGAGTGTCCCAGGGGTCAGTCCTGGGGCCGGTTCAACATCTTTATTAATGATCTGGATGATGGGATGGATTGCACCCTCAGCGAGTTTGCAGATGACACTAAGCTGGGGGAAGAGGTAGATATGCCGGAGGGTAGGGATAGGGTCCAGAGTGACCTTGACAAATTGGAGGATTCGTCCAAAAGAAATCTGATGAGGTTCAACAAAGACAAGCGCAGAGTCCTGCACGTAGGATGGAAGAATCCCATGCACCTCTACAGGCTGGGGACCGACTGGCTAAGCAGCAGTTCTGCAGAAAAGGACCTGGGGATTACAGTGGATGAGAAGCTAGATATGAGTCAGCAGTGTGCCCTTGTTGCCAAGAAGGCTAACAGCATAGTGGGCTGCATTAGTAGGAGCATTGCCAGCAGATCGAGGGACGTGATTATTCCCCTCTATTTGGGACTGGTGAGGCCACATCTGGAATATTGCGTCTACACTCCAGAAAGGATGTGGACAAATTGGAAAGAGTCCAGCAGAGGGCAACGAAAATGATTAGGGGGTTGGGGCACATGACTTATGAGGAGAGGCTGAGGGAACTGGGCTTGTTTAGTCTGCAGAAGAGTGAGGGGGGATTTGATAGCAGCTTTCAACTACCTGAAGGGGGGTTCCAAAGAGGATGAAGCTCGGCTGTTCTGAGTGGTGGCAGATGACAGAACAAGGAGCCATGGTCTCAAGTTGCAGTGGGTGAAGCACTGGAATGGGTTGCCCAGGGAGGTGGTGAAATCTCCATCCTTAGAGGTTTTTAAGGCCTGGCTTGACAAAGCCCTGGCTGGGATGATTTAGGTGGGGTCCTGCTTTGAGCAGGGGGTTGGACTCGACCTCCTGAGGACTCTTTCAACCCTAATCTTCTATGATTCTATGAAATGTCATGTGGCACATCTACTGCTTCACCTCACACGCTGGCCAATAGCCTGACAAAAAAAGAAATTAAGTTGATTTGGCATGATTAGTTCTTGACAAATCCATTTTGTCTACTACTCATCATGCTGTTCTACTCTAGGCGCTTACACATGGATTGTTTAATGGTCTGTTTGAGTAACTTTCCAGGTATTGAAGTTAGGCTGACTGTCTGTAATTCCCTTTGTTCCCTTTTTTTAAAGAGAGGTACCGTGTTTTCCCTTCTGTAGTCCTCTGGGACCACACATACCCTCCATGAGTTCTGGAAGATAATTGCTACTGGTACAAAGATTGCTTCAGATAGTTTATTAAGTACCCTAGGGTGAATGGCATCCGTCCTTGACAACTTGAATACATCTAACTTATTTAAATATTCTTTAATCTGTTTTCCCTATTCTGGCTTGTGTTCCTTCCCCCTTCTTGATAAGCATCTCGTCACAATCAACACTTTTAGTGAAGACCGAAGTAAAATAAGCATCAAAATCCTCAGTCTTTTTGGTGTTGTCTATTATTAGCTCTCCTTCCCTCTTAAATAGCAGACCTGCACTTTCCTTCATCTTACTTTGCTCCTAGTGGGTTTATAGAACCTCTTCTTATTGCCTTGTATGTCCCTTGCTAGGTGTGACTTATTTTGTGTCTTAGCCTTCCTGGTTTTCTCCCTACATACTTGGGTTGTTCTTTTCTACTCATCCTTAGCAATTTGTCCATGATTCCACTTTATGATTTTCAGGTCTCTAGAGAGCACCTGATACAGCCATATTGGCCTCTTGTCACAGACTCAAAGGACTCATGCTCTCTCTCGGCTCTGTACGGTCCCTGGGAGGAACCCCCTTCAGTGTGACAGCCCTTCTCAGGGGTCCACTCTCCCTCGGGGGTTAAGCCATAGGCCCCTCCGCCTCCTGGAACTGCACCTCTCTGAGCCCTCAGCTCGCCTGTCTCTTGCCGTGGGCCCCCTCAGGGAGTCCACTCGCTCTGGACCTCGGGGCCTCCACACCCAGAGGGAATAATGCAACCCTGATCTCTAGACCTGAGTGACTCTTAGCCAGCATAAAACAGAAGGGTTTATTGAGCATCTGAACACAGCATAGGAAACTCTCAGGGCCTCAGGCCTAGCATCCTTCAGCACAGTACATCTAGGTCTCTCCGGTCTCCAGGTGGGCTCTGGCTGCTCTCTCCTCCGAGCCCAGAACCCCCTCCTTCCAGCTGGGCATCCGATATCACCGTCCCCCAAGTCCCACCTCTGTCCTTTGTCTTCTGTCCCAGGTAAACAGGCCGCCTGGGCCTCCTCTTCTCTCAACCTCTCCTCTCATCCATCCTTTGTTTCCCCTTTGGCTGGAACCGGCTGGTCAGGTCACTGGGGACCTCTCTCCACGGTCCATTGTCCTCCCACTGGCCAGAACCGGCTGTGACTCCCAAGCTGGGCCTCCCGGTAACCAGGTCACCAGTCGCTGGGGTACCCATTCTCCAGGCCATTTGCTGGCCCTCTGTAACAACAAACTCCCTCTCCCACCACCACCTTGTTAAACCAGAAACACCCAGGGAAACTGAGTCTCACTCCCCTCTGCATGCAAACCATTGAAAACAACAGGAACCCCCCTTGCTTCCTCACATCTCTTCCCCACCCCTTTGAGTCTGAACTGAGCGGGGTCACTTAGCCAGTCACCTGGGGAAGTTCAGGGCCCCCGCCTCATGGTAAAGCATCGGCTATAACATTGGCACTCCCCTTCACATGGGCCATAACCCTGGAGGAGCAGGCTCCATCTCAGGAGCTTGGCATTAATCCCTTTTATTTGGTGAAGCCACGTCAGGGGCGAATGGTCAATGTGCACAGTAAAGCGCTGCCCAAAGAGATACGGCTGCAGCTTTTTAGCGGCCAGCACCATGGCCAGGCATTCCTTCTCTATGGCCGTTAACCCAATTAAGACCCTTGGTGGCTGAAGCCGGGGCCTGTGTGTGCTATTTCAACCCATTCCCTTAGGGCCCCCTGAGGCCAATATTTTGCCATCTTGTGGTGGATGAATGAAAATCCCAGTTTCTAAAGCATTACATGCCCTGAGTCCTACATTTTCCAAAGTGACCATTGATTTTGGGTGTCTCCAAATTTAGAGAGATCTTGAAGGGGCCACATTTTCAGAAGGCAGCTGCTCCGCACTTTCTGAAAACCAGGCCCCTTTGAGGACATCCTGTGTTGGGCACCCAAAATTGCTAGTCACTTTTAACAAGTTGGGCCTTAGTGTCTGGATCTCTGTGGCAATTGGGCAGCGAATGGATCTCTTTAATGAGGGTGGCGTGTGACTCTTACTCCGGGTCTTTCATTGGCCTGTTGCACAGTCTGGTGACTCACTCTGGTTCACGTCTCTAATCTCTTCCGACAATATGGAAGCAGAGGACTACAGTATAGGTTTGCAGAATGGCAATTTATTATGCAGAGGGGCCCTGGTGAGCAGCACTGAAAGAGTGGATAAGTGGTAGGTCGAAGCAGATGCTTTGAAGTTGTTCAGATTGTAATAAGCCTGGCTACCAGTGGGGCTTCCAGTGGAGGAGAAATGGAGGCACAGATGGATCTTCTCTATTTCTGGATCTTGTTAGCCAACCATTTTGAGAGTAGCAGTAAGGATGTTCAAACCATGCTGACGAAAAAATTTGCCAGCTCCTCTCCAGAATCTTTTCCAGCGGCCCCGTGTGACGATATTAGGCTAGAGAGAAAAGAAGTCAGGGTTAGCATCTCCACGCAGACTGAAACTGGCTCCTGCAGCTCAGGGAATGTTACTTTGTTCCCTCTTGTGTTTCATTTGTTATTAGCAATGACTAGAGGCCCCAACTTTGAGGAGGGCTGCGGTAGTTGCTGTAAGACACGCACAGTGGGCGACAGTCTCTGCCCCAAGGGGATTACAGTCCAGATAGACAGAGGGGGAAAGGGTGAGGGGTGAGAGTGTGACATGCCTGAGGTCACACAGCTGGTCAGTAGCAGAGCAGGAAGTAGAGCCCAGGTCTCCTGAGTCCCAGTCCAGTGCCCTCTCCTCTGGAGCACATGGCCTCTCCAGAACAAAAGAGAGCATCCAACCAGTGTCACTGTGGGCCTAGGTGGCTAGTGGGGGAGAGGAGTAGCCTTCAGGAGCGAGTGTTGCTGCTGGACTCTGGACAGAGGGTGACATTGCTCTGTGGCTCTGAGGGAGGGGAAGGAGCTAGGGCCGTGCCATTTAAGGTGCAGGATTATAAGCAGCCCTTATCCCCTCCCGCTTTGCTGTCTGGAACCCTTACAGCCACCTTGGGCAGGTCCCTGCTCTAGGGTAAGAAGGAAGGGCCATGCTGGGGCCTTTGCCTGGTGTGTGGGACCAGAGGCCATTCAGTGTCTGCATCATTCAACGTTTGTAAATGCTGCTGCCAGACAAAGGCAGGTGGTGAGGAGCCTCCCCAGACCGCCCTGCCCTTGCCCCGCTCCCAGGCACCGTCTGGAGCTTTAGGTTTCTTATGTATTCCATTGAGATTAGAATTTGCTCCCAGCGGTTCTGCTGGCAACTGTAGGGTTCCACCTCCAGGCTCATGGGGCAGGAGGCCTTTGCCAACTCACTGCCAGCAGATGAGCTGGACACTTGTGCAGTGCGAAATACCTGGCCAGGATCTCAGTGAGGGAAAACCGTAACCCTGCCTCAGCCCAGCCGTGAGCAGAGAGGAGGCCCTCTTGGTTACCCACCTCCTCAGACGCCTCCTCACATTTGATAATGACGGAAGGGGGGTCCTTTTCAGTGGAGAAGAATCCAGAGCAGTCTTTGACCAGCTGCAAGGGAGAGAAAAGAGACCTCAGCATCTGCCTGTCAGGGAGTGATAACGCTCAGACCACTCGCATGTGGAGACCTGCTTCCCAGGGTGGGTTGGTCACAAGTTCAGCAGGAGGTTGGGAGGCTCGACCTTGGGCCTGGTTTGGGCATCACAGTGGATCAGGACCCCATTGTGCTAGGGAAAGTACAAAACACAGACCAGAAGGATGGTCCCTGCCCCAAGGAGCTCACAATCTAGGTAACCCTGGCTCATGTTCAATAGCACCTTACTTTGCAAGCAGTCACTGTGCAATCTGTGGGATTCCTTGAGTGATGAGTGAGAGGGGCCCACAGAGAACAGCATATGGGTAAATGTAGATATAGACAAGGAGAGAATGAGTCAAAATCTATACTCAGTTGAGCCAGGTGAGGCTGGATTGCTGTTAGGGCAGAGCATGCTTATGGAACTAGAAGCAGGGTCTTGCAGTTACAGCGATGGGCACAGATTCAGGACACCTGGGTTGAATTCTCCACTGTGCCTCTGTCCTGGTGTGTGACCTTGGGTCACATCACCCACCAGTGAGACGGGGATAAGAGCACTCCCCCTCGGCCAGCCTCTCTCTGTCTGGTCTATTTAGATTGTGAACACTTTGGGGCGGGGACTGTCTGTGTCTGTGCAGCACCTGACACCATGGGGCCCTGATCTCATTAGGGATGTCAAAGTGCTAGTGTACCACGAATAATATTAGACACGAGCTGCATCCCCTTCACCTTTGGACTTCAGTGAGGGTTCCCCGGTAGAACGGTGCCCCAGCTGACAACAGCAAACCAGAGATTAAAAACCACGTAGTCCTATAATTAGGGGTTGGATGAATGAATGTATGTCATCTGTTACCTTGATGGAAGGATCAGTAATAGGATACAGCGGAAGAGGCACTGTACTGTAGCACCCTTCCTTCCTTTACGTCTCTGCTTGAAGCATATATTTTCTACGAGGCTTGGGGATCTGAGAGATGCTGTTGAGCATCTGTGTGGTCAGTGAGATAGAAGAGCAGAGGGAGGGGTCTCCATGCAGGGAGTGATCCTTACCCCGTCTTCTTTGAATTCACACTGGTTGATGTCACGTTTCTCTGATACCAAGCACACTGTCTCTTTCACAGTAAATCTCAGCGTTTGGATAGTTTTAGAAGACATGTCCTAAGAAGTTCAATGAATAAGGAAAATTAACATTCACAGTGAGCAACAAGGAACTTTGGCCTTGTAAATATTTTTCTTTTATGTTACAGTATTGCCCAGAAACCCAAATTGGCATTAGATCTGCATTGTGCTAGGCGCTGTTCACACACACACACAAGGCCCTTGCCCTAAAGAGAATGTAAATATTGACTTGTTCTATTCTACTGAACTAAACAGTTATTAATAATCATTCTCAGCAGTAGTCTAGGGCCTTGAATTTTTCAAATGCTGTTCAAATATAAATCCAGGAATGCTTGTGGCACCTTAGAGACTAACCAATTTATTTGAGCATAAGCTTAAGCTGTAGCTCACGAAAGCTTATGTTCAAATAAATTGGTTAGTCTCTAAGGTGCCACAAGTACTCCTTTTCTTTTTGCGAATACAGACTAACACGGCTGTTACTCTAAATCCAGGAATGTAACTTCATGTGCTGTGGCCTAACTCTGATGTAAGCTCCTTTGTCTTAAATGGAGCTGATTTGCATCAGATGAGGGTCTGGCCCATGTTTCTACAGCATGAACAAATAATTAGTATCTTGCAATTCTCTTTCTTCCTCCCACTTTCCTCTCCTGTTCCCTGCCCTTCTCTTAGAAAATCCAGTCACTGAATGTTTCTGCATGTGTTTTAATTGCTGAAAGTGCGATTCTGGTCTGAAATGACATTGTTCAAGTGAACTCCTGGGATTCCAGGTCTTATTGCCTCACTGTAATTTCTATATGTAAGTTCCTGTCTTGCAGAAGTTACTTGTGTGTGCAAGTGTTTGCAGAATCGGATCCCCAGTATCCTCCTTTTGGGCTTGATCATGAAACACTCTGAGCACTCCTGTGTGGTGCTGAGCACCCTCAACTTCCACTGACCTCACTGCGAGCAGAGGGTGCTCAGTAGCTCACGGGATCAAGCCTTTCATTAAAAATATGGTTATTTCCCTAACTGTCAGTCTTGCCAATTGAATGTTTGCTCAAGCCCTGCTTTTGCTTTTCATGCCTCATCACGGGAGCCCAAGAAACAAGGTGCTGTTGATAATGTATGAGAAGGAACAAAATCCAGCTCCCGCTTTGCAGACCCAGCTGGAGTACAAAGGAGTGAGCATTTCTGTTAGCCATGGGCCACGATTTTAGAACATGGCTGGTGAGTTTGTGTGCCTCACAATTGGGTGCCCTATTTGAAGGGGTCTGACTCTCAGAGTGCGGGTGCTGAGAACGTTCTGGAAATCAGACCCTTCTGAGGTGTTTCAAGTTGGGCACCTGAAATCACTTGTTACTTACAAAACTCTTGGCCCATAGCCGACAGTTCTGACTGTGAAAACGCAGAGGGAGCCACTGTGCTGAACAAGGGGATGCCATTTTAGGCACTCCCACTTTTCAGAGCAAGGGCAGCATTTTAAAACGAATACAAACTTGTACTGAAGATACATGGTAACTCTGACAACTTTTGCGGTCAACATAGGTGTCAGTGAACAGGGCATTAATGAAAAATTACATACATTAGAACATAGGATAGTGTATGCTTATTTTGACTGCAAGGTATTGCTCTGTGCCTCAGTTTCCCCCTCTAAAATGAGGATAATAATACGTCCTTTCTCCGACCCTTTGTCTTATCTATTTGGATTGTAAAGTTCTTCTAGGCAGGAACTGTATCTTACTATGTATTTGTACAGCACCTAGCACATTGGAGCTGTGGTCTTGGCTTGAACCTCTAGATGCTGCTGGGATATAAATATATCAATTAGGTCCCTCTGGGAAGAATAGTGCCCAGTGCTTTGTTACCACTTAATAAATAATGACAATAAGGGATTAACAAATGTCTTTACATTAAATCTGTCTTCTCCATATTACTAAATTTGAATTCTCTTCGCAAGGAGACCCAGGGTGGGCACTGAATTCAAATGGTCTTTTCCTAAAGCTTTTTAAGCTTTCTAAGAGCCATATCTTTTAATGACCAATAATCAGTATTTATTTGTAAAGTTACAGAACCCAGACAGCAAAAAAAAAAAACAAAAAAAAAACCCCACTAGAACTGCACTGGTATCTCTGTTAAATCGTGATTTTTAAGCCAATTGCATGATTTTTTCAGAGCGGACGCATTCTCTTTGAACACTTATGGCTGGCTACCGCCTTTGTGCCAGGCACTGTACAAACACAGAGTAAGACGGTCCCTGCCCCGAGTTTCTCAGAGTATAATTCAAATGGAAAACATGCTCTGCCTGCTGTATCTGAATGAACTGCTGCTCTCAGGCCCTTCCTCTGCAGTGAGACCAGGAAGCTGCTGTGTGATAATACAGGGAAATAGCTGTCTGGTTGCTACCCGTCCCTGCACATATTTCACTCCCTCTTTATAACCAATTTTGGCCATGCTGCTTTCAGTGACTCGAGTTGGCTGGTCTATAAATTCCCTGTCATTCCCCTTCCCCTAACCACTACCTACTTGGATTGTGAGCAGAAACTGTCTTTCTTGGCACAGCCAGAAATCAGCCCTGGATAATAACAGTAAGGGTGCAAATACCAAAGTGTAGGTACAGGAGCCTAGCATCACAGGGCTGCGATTCCCATTGACTCGCCCTATGAGTTTAAGCATCATCTAATAGGCCAAAAAGTGATTCCCCAGATCACTCACCCAGTCTGGCTGCGGCTCAGCTTCCAGGAGCCGATAGGCCAGTGTTATATCTGGCTCTTGGTTGTAGAGCTGAACTGCAGCTAAAACCGCATCCTTGTGGGTTGGCAGAGGGGATGATGATGGCGCGGGGGCTGCTGTGACCACCCCGACAATCAGCAGGACTTTCAGGCAGGTCTCCATCCTGTGCGCTGTGGGATTCAGTGAGAGCTGGGTCGGCAACCCTGTCCCTCCCGGGGAAAGCCCTTTTATACGCTGCCTCCTCCGTGTGGGCTAGTGCCTCATTGGCTGCCTGCTTCATCCTCCCTTAACAGGTGACTTTTCTCCCTCCATCTGCAGGATGTTTCCATTGGCCACCCTGCTGGGGCGGGCACAGAGGGAGGTTGGTCAGGAGAAAAGGAGGATTTTTTCAAATAAATTGCTGAAATCGTGTGCACCAATGGCTAAACAGCCGATAGCTGGGGGGTGGCCAGGGGCCTCTGAACTGGGAAAGGCCAAGGTACCTGTACCTGTCTTGGTGTGAGTCAGCGTAGATCCATGAAAGCCAATGGAGCTAGGGTAACTATACCAGCTGAGGATCTGTTGGGCCAGAACCCCAGCTGCTATAAGTTGCCATTGCTCTATCTATGCTGACTTATATCAAGAAAACACCTCTCCCCTAAAGTCCAGACAACCAGAGCTTTACCTGTCAGCTCTCAGTCCAGAAATCACACAACAAGCATTCCCCTAGAGCCAGTCAGTAGGCCCAGGTCATTGGTTTTGATGGTGCCACCACTAAATCCAAGGGGACTGTACAGTGCATTAACAATGGATAACCACACACCACACTGCTCCTCACTGGCGAACCTGCTCTTTTGTATCCCTAGCAATGGGGCTCCCCCGTATCCAATAGGAGGCCCCTGTTCCAAAGCTGGAGACATCTCACCATCATGAAGTCTTCCTATGAGTCATCCGAACCCATTCCTTCTTAATGTTATCCCATTGCTCCTAGTCATACCCCTAGCCCCCTTTCCAAATGGATCCCCCTCTCTTTGGGTTAACTCTTTTGTAGGCTGCTACCGCTTTTTCCTTATTCTGTATTTACATTGGCCAATTTTCAGCGCATGTGGCTGTGTCCCTACCGAAGCCAATTTCAATTAATTTTGAGAATCAGATTTCATGAGAGACTGTTTCAAACGTGTTACCAAGAGCCAGTTATATCCCATCAATCACTTCCTCTTTATCCACTGGTCCTGCAGTTCTGTCAAGCACAGCAATCAAACTGTCAGACTTCTTTTTATGTGATTAGAGCATGTTCTCTGTGTCCTCTGAGTGGGGCTCTCACAATACTTTCCCTCCTACACAAAATACAGTAAACAGTGTGGACGGTATTCCTGGCTGTGAAGTCCCCTTCATCAGGATTCTGCTGCAGGATAAGACCAGGAAGTCTCAGAATTCTTTCTTCAGCTCATTTCTTGCACATTCTGGCTTACCGTTTAGCTACAGTTTGGTAATCCAGGCAGGACGGACGGGGTTTGTAACTGACAATTCCATCCCTCCCTGTGCGGTATGTGAACTAAGTGATTGGGCAACAAAATGGCAAATTAAATTTAATGTGGATAAATGTAAAGTAATGCACATTGGAAAAGATAACCCCAACTATACGTACAATATGATGGGGGCTAATTTAGCTACAACTAATCAGGAAAGAGATCTTGGGGTCATCGTGAATAGTTCTCTGAAGACGTCCACGCATTGTGCAGCGGCAGTCAAAAAAGCAACCGGGATGTTAGGAATCATTAAAAAGTGATAGAGAATAAGATGGAGAATATCTTATTGCCCTTATATAAATCCATGGTACGCCCACATCTTGAATACTGCATGCAGATGTGGTCTCCTCATCTCAAAAAAGATATACTGGCATTAGAAAAAGTTCAGAGAAGGGCAACTAAAATGATTAGGGGGTTGGAACGGGTCCCATATGAGGAGAGATTAAAGAGGCTAGGACTTTTCATCTTGGAAAAGAGGAGACTAAGGGGGGCTATGATAGAGGTCTATAAAATCATGAGTGATGTGGAGAAAGTGAATAAGGAAAGTTATTTACTCGTTCCCATAATATAAGAACTAGGGGTCACCAAATGACATTAATGGGTAGCAGGTTTAAAACAAATAAAAGGAAGTTCTTCTTCACTCAACGCACAGTCAACCTGTGGAACTCCTTGCCTGAGGAGGTTGTGAAGGCTAGGACTATAACAGGATGTGGCGGGTTTTGTACCTCGTCTGCCTCTTTGATTCTGGGGTGGGGCAAGGTTAACCCCACCTCCCGGCTTCTACGCCAGTTCTACAACCTCCCTGGTAGTCAGGGCTGTATGGCCCAATGGCCAGAGTCCCTCTAAATCTTCTTCCCCTGGTGAGATAGTGCGGCCTAGCGGCTGGAGTCCCTATAGTGTGCTCCCAAAGCAGTGTGGCCCAATGGCCAGAGTCTCCCAAAATTTCTCTTCCTTTGGTGGGATAGCATGGCCTAGCGGCCGGAGTCTCTATAGTGCCCTCCTAAAGCAGTGTGGCCTGAGGGCCAGAGTCCCTCTCAGTCCCCTTCCCCTCGTAGGATAGTGCAGCCCAGCAGCCGGAGTTCATCTATCTCCTTTGAGGTTAGAGAGGGGTTGGTGAATTATGTCATCACAAAAAAAGGCAGGGGGGCTTAGAGACCTCCGGTAGGGGAGCCTGGGCCCACCCACCTTCACTGGGCTCCAACCCAGGGCCCTGTCATTGACGGCGTGATCCTCCCCCGGTCAGCGGGGAATTCTACCGCAACACACTGCCCTCAGAGTGGTGGGAGATACCACTCCCTTCCCTTTCCTGGGTCGCTTCCGACCAGTTCTCCTGATGTAGCAGTCCCTGTGGCATCAGGGTCTTCAGGTTCCTCAGCCCCTGGGACTCTCTGGGGTTCCCACAGCTGCCAGTCTCTGGTCACACTTCCTGGCCCCTCCGCTCCCTCCTGTACGAGTCGCCACTGTTCCTGGGCTGGAGCCTCTGCTGGGTGTCTTCCTACCTCAGCTGCCAGCCCTGACTGAGCAGCTCTGCAGGCTTTTATACTTGACTCTCTGTTGGAACATGCCCAGCACAGCCTCAGGTGCGTGGCTTCCTCTGCCAGCAGGGAAGGGTTGACCCTCTCATTCCCAGTGCGGGGCCAGTCCGCCCTGTCACACAGGTTTTAAAGGAGAACTGGATAAATTCATGGATAAATCCATTAATGGCTATCAGTCAGGATGTGTAAGGAATGGTGTCCCTAGCCTCTGTCTGTCAGAGGGTGGAGATGGATGGCAGGAGAGAGATCACTAGATCATTAACTGTTAGGTTCACTCCCTCTGGGGCAGTTGGCATGGGCCTCTGTTGGTAGACAGGATACTGGGCTGGATACTAGGCCGGATGGACCTTTGGTCTGACCCAGTATGGCCGTTCTTCTGTTCTTATGTGAATTAAAGCTGGTGCTGCGTCACGTGGGGTTGGGCGGCAGTGCACTCGTACCACTTACTTCTCTATCAGTCAGTTGCTGAAATGCTAGAAATTCTTGATGTGTCCTATAATACTACCCTGTTAACTTGACTGATCCTTGAGTCTTATTACGTATTATTATTACTGTGGGAATACTGTGGGAGACCGTGTCAAAAGCTTTGCTAAAGTCAAGAAACAATACATCCACTGCTTTCCCTTCATCCACAGAACCAGTAATCTCATCATAGAAGGCGATTAGATTAGTCAGGCATGACCTTCCCTTGGTGAATCCATGCTGGCTGTTCCTGATCACTTTCCTCTCATGCAAGTGCTTCAGGATTGATTCTTTGAGGACCTGCTCCATGATTTTTCCAGGGACTGAAGTGAGGCTGACTGGCCTGTAGTTCCCAGGATCCTCCTTCTTCCCTTTTTTAAAGATTGGCACTACATTAGCCTTTTTCCAGTCATCCGGGACTTCCCCGGTTCGCCACGAGTTTTCAAAGATAATGGCCAATGGCTCTGCAATCACAGCCGCCAGTTCCTTCAGCACTCTCGGATGCAACTCGTCCGGCCCCATGGACTTGTGCACGTCCAGCTTTTCTAAAAAGTCCCTAACCACCTCTATCTCCACAGAGGGCTGGCCATCTCTTCCCCATTTTGTGATGCCCAGCGTAGCAGTCTGGGAGCTGACCTTATTAGTGAAGACAGAGGCAAAAAAAGCATTGAGTACATTAGCTTTTTCCACATCCTCTGTCACTAGTTTGCCTCCCTCATTCAGTAAGGGGCCCACACATTCCTTGGCTTTCTTCTTGTTGCCAACATACCTGAAGAAACCCTTCTTGTTACTCTTGACATCTCTGGCTAGCTGCAGCTCCAGGTGCGATTTGGCCCTCCTGATAACATTCCTACATGCCCTAGCAATATTTTTATACTCTTCCCTGGTCATATGTCCAACCTTCCACTTCTTGTAAGCTTCTTTTTTATGTTTAAGATCCGCTAAGATTTCACCATTAAGCCAAGCTGGTCGCCTGCCATATTTACTATTCTTTCGACTCATCGGGATGGTTTGTCCCTGTAACCTCAACAGGGATTCCTTGAAATACAGCCAGCTCTCCTGGACTCCTTTCCCCTTCAAGTTAGTCCCCCAGGGGATCCTGGCCATCCGTTCCCTGAGGGAGTCAAAGTCTGCTTTCCTGAAGTCCAGGGTCCGTATCGTGCTGCTTACCTTTCTTCCCTGTGTCAGGATCCTGAACTCAACCAACTCATGGTCACTGCCTCCCAGATTCCCATCCACTTTTGCTTCCCCCACTAATTCTACCCGGTTTGTGAGCAGCAGGTCAAGAAAAGCGCCCCCCCTAGTTGGCTCCTCGAGCACTTGCGCCAGGAAATTGTCCCCTACGCTTTCCAAAAACTTCCTGGATTGTCTATGCACCGCTGTATTGCTCTCCCAGCAGATATCAGGAAAATTAAAGTCACCCATGAGAATCAGGGCATGCGATCCAGTAGCTTCCGTGAGCTGCCGGAAGAAAGCCTCATCTACCTCATCCCCCTGGTCTGGTGGTCTATAGCAGACTCCCACCACTACATCACTCTTGTTGCACACACTTCTAAACTTAATCCAGAGACACTCAGGTTTTTCTGCAGTTTCGTACCGGAGCTCTGAGCAGTCATACTGCTCCCTTACATACAGTGCTACTCCCCCACCTTTTCTGCCCTGCCTGTCCTTCCTGAACAGTTTATAACCATCCATGACAGTACTCCAGTCATGTGAGTTATCCCACCAAGTCTCTGTTATTCCAATCACGTCATAGTTCCTTGACATCACCAGGACCTCCAGTTCTCCCTGCTTGTTTCCAAGGCTTTGTGCATTTGTATATAAGCACTTGAGATAACCTGTTGATCGCCCCTCATTCCCAGTATGAGGCAGGAGCCCTCCCCTCACAGACATTCCTGCCTGTGCTTCCTCCCGGTATCCCGCTTTCCCACTTACCTCAGGGCTTTGGTCTCCTTCCCCCGGTGAACCTAGTTTAAAGCCCTCCTCACTAGGTTAGCCAGCCTGCTCGCGAAGATGCTCTTCCCTCTCTTCGTTAAGTGGAGCCCGTCTCTGCCTAGCACTCCTTCTTGGAACACCATCCCATGGTCGAAGAATCCAAAGCCTTCTCTCCGACACCACAGTATTCCCACAGTATTCTTGTCAGCAAGTTAAGGAAGTATGGGCTGGATGAATGCACTACAAGGTGGGTAGAAAGCTGGCTAGATTGTCGGGCTCAACGGGTAGTGATCAATGGCTCCATGTCTAGTTGGCAGCCGGTATCAAGTGGAGTGCCCCAAGGGTCGGTCCTGGGGCCGGTTTTGTTCAATATCTTCATAAATGATCTGGAGGATGGTGTGGATTGCACTCTCAGCAAATTTGCGGATGATACTAAACTGGGAGGAGTGGTAGATACGCTGGAGGGGAGGGATAGGATACAGAAGGACCTAGACAAATTGGAGGATTGGGCCAAAAGAAATCTGATGAGGTTCAATAAGGATAAGTGCAGGGTCCTGCACTTAGGACGGAAGAACCCAATGCACAGCTACAGACTAGGGACCGAATGGCTAGGCAGCAGTTCTGCGGAAAAGGACCTAGGGGTGACAGTGGACGAGAAGCTGGATATGAGTCAGCAGTGTGCCCTTGTTGCCAAGAAGGCCAATGGCATTTTGGGATGTATAAGTAGGGGCATAGCGAGCAGATCGAGGGACGTGATCGTTCCCCTCTATTCGACATTGGTGAGGCCTCATCTGGAGTACTGTGTCCAGTTTTGGGCCCCACACTTCAAGAAGGATGTGGATAAATTGGAGAGAGTCCAGCGAAGGGCAACAAAAATGATTAGGGGTCTGGAACACATGAGTTATGAGGAGAGGCTGAGGGAGCTGGGATTGTTTAGCCTGCAGAAGAGAAGAATGAGGGGGGATTTGATAGCTGTTTTCAACTACCTGAAAGGGGGTTCCAAAGAGGATGGCTCTAGACTGTTCTCAATGGTATCAGATGACAGAACGAGGAGTAATGGTCTCAAGCTGCAGTGGGGGAGGTTTAGGTTGGATATTAGGAAAAACTTTTTCACTATGAGGGTGGTGAAACACTGGAATGCGTTACCTAGGGAGGTGGTAGAATCTCCTTCCTTGGAGGTTTTTAAGGTCAGGCTTGACAAAGCCCTGGCTGGGATGATTTAACTGGGAATTGGTCCTGCTTTGAGCAGGGGGTTGGACTAGATGACCTTCTGGGGTCCCTTCCAACCCTTATATTCTATGATTCTATGATTCTATGATTCTATGATACTTATTATTGTAACACCTTAATCACAAAATCATGTTTTGCCCCGCCGAATTTTCCCCCTCAGCCTAAGGAGTGCTTCTTGCATGTGCTCTCCTGGGCTTTAGGTTCAATGCAGAATTGTATTTGATCCAAAGTTTAGGTGTTGATGATTGAATCTGGCCAATAGTTTACAAAGTCTGTCAACTCCATGTGTGACTTTTGGCAAGTTACTTTATCTCGATGGGCCTCAGCTCCCCATCTGTGAATAGCGATCCTTTCTTTCTCCCACTCTTCCTCCGTGTGGCCTGTTTAGATTGAATGCTCATAAGGGCAAGGACTCTCCTGTCCTATGTCTGCGTACAGCGCTTAGCATAATAGACCTTGGTTGGTATATGCAGGTGCTAGTGTCCTGTGAAATAAGACTGAGGTGCATGGCAGTGAAGAATTCAGTCACCAGTCTTCAGTTTCTGGCGCTCTGTTGAATAGTGGTTGCTCTGAGAGTCCCACTGCAGCTCTGTTGCAGCCCTAAGGTTTAGCAGTGCTCAGCCAAGGGGCCTGCAAATGTAACCCAGGCACCTCCTGGGTGCCACTAGATGGGACAGAACACCACACCCAGGAGGTGTGTTTGTTACACAAACATTTGCAGTCTCATTCTTGCAGGTGCATCTGTAACAAGATGTTACTTTTGTATCTGTCAGATGTCTCCCTGCTTTCTCCTTGCTGCTCTCCAGCACAAACTGGATCACTGACCCCTGTTTATCACAAGACTCCTACTTAATTGAAATCTTGGTTTGTCCTGTGGAGCACAGACTCCTCCCTTTGCAGCACAGCCTGACCTTGGGAAACTGACCAACATTTATCCCTCATGGCTGTCCAGGTCCCTCAAGAAGCCTCTTTCTCCAGACCTCACTGGCATATCTTCCCTGTATCCTCAGTCCGACAGATCTGGAGGGCAGCTGCCTTTTACATTGCCAGCCAGTGCATCTTCCCTGTGTCCCCACTCCGCAGATCCTGGAATCCAGCCTCTCCCTCCAGGGCTAACCAGTATTGATTCCAACACAATCCTCGCTGCTCATACAGTCCCCACAATGGTGCCAAGCAGCAGGCTCCTCCACAGCTCCCCGGCTCTCTTCCCTGGAAGAGCGAGGGAGCTGCCCCTACAGGCCTTGAAATCTGTTTCCAAAGTTTGGAGGATCTGGAGCACAGAGATGGAAGCCTCGGATTTCAGGAATCCTCACTTGTTTCCACAGAGCTTTGTGTGTCCTCCTGAAGCCTTCAGCTAATGAGAGACCCCTCATGTTTGCATGAAGTGCTTTTAAGACAGGTTGGTTTAAAGGGGACCATGGGGCCATCCCAGTGCAGGCTGGTCTTAAAGGCTGCTCACATCGATGCTGGCTACCAGCCAAGTCCAGGCTTCATTCCTGGGTACGGTGCTTGGCGCAATGAGACTCTGATACCAGCACTGAACAGGGGCTGCTGTGATGCAAATCACCGATAATAAATAATTTTGCTGTGAATTTTTCCCTAGAAATGGCTCTTTGGATTTTTCAGATACCCTGTGCCCGTCACACACACAGTACGCATATATCAGAACACTACACACCCAAGGTGACTTACACGTGTGTGTTGTGTCCTGTTGTGTTGGACAGTCTGTGATTTACCTTACAGAGAACTAAAGCGCCTTTCCTTTCTCGGGTTATGCTTTCGTTAGAGGAGACAAAGATAAATGGCATTTCTGTGCCTGGAACTCCCTGAAATGGAGATTATAATATTTCTCTAGACCCAGGTCTCAGGAGTGTTGGGAGGGTTAATTAGACAATGTCCGAGTACGTAAAATGTAATATACATTCTGCTATTAGAGCAAAGTACTACGACCTGAAAGAGCTGAGGATAGAGGTTATTCAGAATGGGGGGAGGGGTAGCTCAGTGGTTTGAGCACTGGCCTGCTAAACCCAGCATTGTGAGTTCAATCCTTGAGGGGGCTGTTTAGGGATATGGGGCAAAAATCGGTTGGATGATTTAATTGGGGATTGGTCCTGCTTTAAGCAGGGGGTTGGACTAGATCAGTGGTCCCCCACATCTGCCAGCCATCCTGCTGCCAAAATGCCACCGAGAAGCGGCACGAAGCGTCGCCTCCGAAATGCCGCTGAGAAACAGCAATGCTTCTCGGCAGCATTTCAGCAGCGGGGTGCCCTGCGGGTGCACAAAAATGCCCTGGCAGGCCCCATGGCACCCGCAGGGACTGCATTGGGGACCACTGGACTAGATGATCTCCTGAGGTCCCTTCCAACCCTGATATTCTGTGAATCTGTATAGCACTGTGACATTATGTCAGTTGCAGGTTTGCTTCCCAAATGCTATGGTATTTCTTTTGCAAATGCAGGAAATAGAAGTTAGTTGGGTAACACTCCCAGCAGTTTGCTCACTGGAATAGGGTTTCCAGTCCATGTCTTTGCTGTGCTAAATAAAACCCCAATTCCCCAGTATTGTGCAGACAGACAGACCCTGGCACCCATGTGGCACCCGATGGTTTCCATGGGGTCCATGTGGGCACAGAGGTCTGTCCTTTGGGATGACTGCAGATTTGGGGCCTAAAAGTTGGAGCTCTTGCAATGTTCAGACTAGAAATATGGTGCATTTTGAAATAGTGAAGATAATTGACCATGGGAATCACTTATCTGGGGATATGCTGGATTCTCCATCACTTGCAGGCTTTCCGTCAGGATTCGATTTCCTTTCAAAAAGATGCTTTCGCAGAAATGGAAGTTACAGGCTTGATGCAGAAATGACTGGCTGTGGTTCTTTGGCCTGTTCTGTGTTCTGCAGCAGGTCAGACTACAGGACCACAATGGCCTTGCTGGCCTTCACTATGACTGTATGAAAGCTATGAAAGTCGGCAGCAATGCTTCAGTTACACATGTGATGGGGTTCCAAATTCCTTTCTCAGTGGGAGCTTGGAAGCTCCCTCATCTCTGCCCCTCCTTCCAATCGCATCATTGTTAGCACAAGAACCTTCTTCTCAGCAGCGTCTATCACTTGGACGAGACTTCTTGCTCCTCTCTGTCCATCAGATGACATTTTGCATGAAAATTCCAAATCCACTTGGTCCCAGTGCCTCTCACATGTCAAACTCAGTGAGGAGTTTAGTCATATAAAGACACGCAAGTTGCACCAAAGTGTGTCTAGCAGTCTCAAATGTATGCTCATAGTTGTCAGTCTTGTCCCCACCCCTCCCAACACACACACACACACTGTACACACAGGTTTCAGAGTAGCAGCCATGTTAGTCTGAATCTGCAAAAGGAAAAGGAGGACTTGTGGCACCTTAGAGACTAACAAATTTATTTGAGCATAAACTTTCATGAGCTACAGCTCACTTCATCAGATGCATGCAGTGGAAAATAGAGGAGGGAGATTTTATATACACAGAGAACATGAAACAATGGATGTTACCAAACACACTATAATGAGAAAAAAGAAAAGGAGGACTTGTGGCACCTTAGAGACTAACAAATGTATTTGAGCATAAGCTTTCGTGAGCCTCAGCTCACTTCATCGGATGCATTCAGTGGAAAATACAATGGGGAGATTTATATACACAGAGAACATGAAACAATGGGTGTTACCATACAGACTGTAACAAGAGTGATTAGGAAAGGTGAGCTATTACCACCAGGAGAGAAAAAAAAAACCTTTTGTAGTGATAATCAAGGGGGGCCATTTCCAGCAGGTGACAAGAACGTCTGAGGAATAGTAGGGGGGAAAAGTAAGCACGGGGAAATAGTTTTACTTTGGGTAATGACCCATCCACTCCCAGTCTTTATTCAAGCCTAATTTAATGGTGTCCAGTTTGCAAATTAATTCAATTCAGCAGTCTCTCGTTAGAGTCTGTTTTTGAACTTCTTTGCTTGAAGAATTGCCACTTTTAGGTCTGTAATCGAGTGACCAAAGAGATTGAAGTGTTCTCTGACTGGTTTATGAATGTTATAATTATTGACATCTGATTTGTGTCAATTTATTCTTTTACGTACGGACTGTCCAGTTTGGCCAATGTCCATGGCAGAGGGGCATTGCTGGCACATGATGGCATATATCACATTGGTAGATGTGCAGGTGAACGAGCCTCTGATAGTGTGGCTGATGTGATTAGGCCCTATGATGGTGTCCCCTGAATAGATATGTGGACACAGTTGGCAACGGGCTTTGTTGCAAGGATAGGTTCCTGGGTTAGTGGTTCTGTTGTGTGGTGTGTGGTTGCTGGTGAGTATTTGCTTCAGGTTGGGGGGCTGTCTGTAAGCAAGGTAATAGCTCACCTTACCTGATCACTCTCGTTACAGTGTGTATGGTAACACCCATTGTTTCATGTTCTCTGTGTATATAAAATCTCCCTCCTGTATTTTCCACTGCATGCATCCGATGAAGTGAGCTGTAGCTCACGAAAGCTTATGCTCAAATAAATTTGTTAGTCTCTAAGGTGCCACTAGTACTCCTGTTCTTTCTGTACACACAGTCTCACAAGGCAGACATTCCTTCACGAACAATGGGAAAAAATCATACCCTACCTAGGGGATAAATTCCCTGCTGGTAAAAGTGCCTCTTGATCTACTGAATTTAATGGAGTTGTGCTTATTTACATCAGGTGAGGTTTCCATTGATTATAACCTGGGTGCCTAGAGATGCAGGTACATTTGTCCCAGGAGGATCACTAGCTGAGTGGGTACGGTGAGATATCTATCTGACGGTGAGTATTCCTGACAGGGAGCCAGAAGGGCTGTTGACCTCAGGACACTGAAAGCCGTACACTCTTCTGAACGTGGGGTGTACAGCCTAACCCCACGATCCCAGCTGATTTGAGTTCCCATCTCTGCTTGCCCTGGCACGTTTGCCAACAGGTATTTCCTGCAAAAGGAAGCAACAGCTTTTGGGAAAACCCA